CAAAGACAAGGTCAAGAATTTTAGACAACTTATTAGATAATGAATTAATTTGAATTAAGTTTAAACTAAGCAGACTATCCAGAAAATTTATCTCGTACGTCCTGTTTACGTGAGTTGGAGTCAGGAAACCATTTCTTTGTAGGTCGGACCAGACTATATCTGCAAGATTGAAATCGCCAAGAATGCAAAACGAAGATTCAGGATTCTGCTCACAAAGATCGACGATATTGTCAACATGACAGCTGTATAGATAGTCCGTACTAACTATTTGGCGGTATATAGGATGTGCAAATGAATAATTTTCCAAGCGAACCATAGACACAAACTTGATCTATGAGAGTATCTAGGCGATTAGGACACCACCACCTTTGGAGTGACCAGTCTTCACCGGATCTCTATCCTTCCTGAATACATTACATAAAGTTGGATTAAAATACTCTTCGCCATGAAAGTCAGCATTCAGCCATGTTTCCACAAAAACATAGACATCAAAGTCAACGCGCGACGTTGATAAAAATATCTCTTTGATTTTAGTCCGCATTCCAGACATATTTTGAAAATAAATTTGAAGACCCTTAGGGGCTGAGCTACAGTTGCCAGAATTCAAGCTATTTGTACGCTTCCGATGGGGCTACCCTTTGAAAAAAGCGGAATGGTCGGACATTTATACCAGAAGGCCAAACAGTAGCCTTCTTTATATCTTCATAATATGCATACGAAACTCCAAATTTGCAATTTATGCTTCGAAGCTTGTCTAAAGGTTCGTCTTTCTTAATAAACTTGTGGCATGCAAAATGTTTAATGTCGATACCGGACTGTTTAGATACATACTCGATGATTTTATCAGTAGAAACGGACGGCTTAAAAGCGGATACTTCATTTTTACGATTATGTCGAGGTCAGCGTTTTTATTTCGACCAACCACAACCTGTTTACGCTTCGGAGTTTTCGTCTTATGAGGCACAGTTTTACAACCATTCGAGCCAGAAAAAACCGCAGGCTCTGAACCAGCATCAGGCACAACATCAATATCAGCATTCAAAGAATTAACATCCACGTCGGCATCAACAACAGCGCCAGCAGCAGTCATAACAGAGCTGTTAACATTAGCTTTAATTGAGTTAGTACCGGCAGCAGCAGCATAGGTAACATTGGTATTGAGCGCCATGCGCTTAGCAGACCCATTGGGGGGCAGAGCAGCATTCGATACCGTGCACTTAGTAGACGGAGCAGATGAGGGAGTTTCTGTTGGTGTAGGTAAACACTGTTCAGCATGAGCAGCAGTAACATTAGTCCCATGCAGAGAGCCGGCGGCTGGGTATGCTTTTGTTTTTGCAATTTTTGACGGATTTGCATATATTTGCTGTTGTGGGCTTAATGTTCGTTTGACTTGGATGTACCTATCAATACCCATTTTAGTCATTGTACGGGTTGTTGGATTAAGTAGGTCAACTTGCGCTGCGCTGCGTTGCTTGACTTGGACTGGTTTGTGCGGGTGTGGGTGAACTGCGTTGTGAAACCGCTGTTCTTGCTGAAGGCGTGGTTGACGTCGTTGTTGTGAGAGCTGCGCTCACCGTTGTTACTGTGCTTGTTGCTAAGCTAGTGCTTTTTTGTTGCGTTAGAACAACTTGGTCTACCAGAGACATTGGCGACTGTGCATGCCAAGATGTAATGCACGAGGTTTGGGGGAGGGGGAGAACGATTAATCGCGATCAGCATTGTTTGTTGGGGAAACGAACGAAAAGTACGCATTTCGTCGATCAGCTGAATGCTTTCGGTCAGCTCTGTTGCGGAAAGATTTATTTCACCGAACTTGGTACTTATTTCACTATTCGGTAAGCGCGGTGGGCCGGAGCTGCTTTTATTTTATTGCATGTTGGCACATTTAGATGAATTTCTCGCGGCATTGCAAAAATTCGGAAAAAGTAGTTTATAATTATAAGCAAATAAGCAGAAAGCTTATTTATGCCTAGTATTGTCTTTTAGCGTTGGTTTTGTTCTTTTTTTCTTTGCTTTACGTGAATTATTAATTTCTCGGCGTAGCGACAAAAAAACACATTCGAACAGGTTGACAGTCAATCAGTATTTTAATGCGAGCTCTATATATGCGTCCCCGCTTAGTTACCCAACTCGACTAAGTACCTAAATTTTTCGTATCCCATTTACAATTTCGCTTATAATTTTCCCCTTTTAAGTGCTCCCGCAACACGTTCGGCAAAAAAATTTTAAAAATTGAACGGTAATTTTAGTCACTTTAAATTTGCACATTATTACACTAAAATTAAATGAGAAAAAAGTTTGAAATTTTGATGAATTTTTATTTCAGTGCTCTACAAAATTTGAAGCTCAGGTTTAAGGCTGTTTGCAGCACTTAAAAAGTAGTTCCAATTTTTTCCTTTGGTTGATAATGTGCCTTGCTTTTACCTACTTCCAGCTCTCAAAACAAACGAAAAATTCATATAAAATGACGCACAAGAAATGGAAAAGAAATTTTCTTCTATCAAAATTTCTTAAATCAGTTTGCAGCTCTCAAGAAAAAAATGCTCGTATATTTGTTTCTTCAAGAAAATTTACAGCAAAGGCAAAGTGCTTTTTAAAGTAAAAGAAATAATGAAAATTATTTCTTAAGAGCTGGATTCTAAGTTTTTGCTGTAAATTTTCTTGAAGAATTAGATATCCTAATATTTTTTTCTTGAGAGCTGCAAGCTGATTTAAGAAATTTTCATAGTAGAAAATTTCTTTACCATTTCTTGTGCGTTTTTTTATTTGAGTTTTTCGTTTTACTTGGAAGCTGTAAACAGTCCTTTATATAGTATTTGTTAGGGAATGAACTCTGTTTTAATTGAAATATCTTAAAAAATAATAAATTAACATAAGTGGCAAGCATCATTTTGAATTTGGTCCGATACGATAGATATGCCCAACACTGTATGTATGTATAAATATGTATAATCAGTGTCCTTAAACAATTGACATAACATTGCTTTATTGACTTTTTTATAAAGTTTTTGTTATTTTTATGGCCTTATTACAATTATATTCAACAGTTTTTATGAGCTTGAGGCCGTTTTTAGTGAAAACTTATTGTGGAAAAGCAACAATAATTTGAAAAAATGGTAGAAGTGATAGCTATTTCGGAAATCATCACATTTCCTAATCAGACTTATTTCAGTAGGATTCGAACCGACGATCGCCACTGACTCAGCCAGTTGCCTACGCACTGTGCTAAGGTTGCCTTGTTAATTCTAGTTGCTTATTTCCACTATTTCACTTTGCTAAGCCAACTACAATCAAGCGCAGCTATTCCGCTGCAATTCACTTGATGATGTGGTTGTTGGTTTTGTTGGTTTTTGTTAATATTTCTATTATTAGAATGTTTAACTTTTAGGTGTGCTCGTCCTTAAGTTATTTGTTTTTTGTTATTTTTATGGCCTTATAACAATTATATACAACCACTTTTATGAGCTTGAGGCGGTTTTAGTGAAAACTTATTGTGGAAAAGCAACAATAATTTAAAAAAAGTTCAGAAGTGATAGGTATTTCGGAAATCAGCACATTTCCTAATCATACTTCTTTCAGTAGGATTCGAACCGACGATCACCACTGACTCAGCTTGACAACAATTTAACAATTATTATCAACAATTTTTATGAACTTGAGGCCGATTTTAGTGAAAACTTGTTGCTGCTGCTGTTACGTTATTTCTGTCTATGGTTCTTGTAATTGCGAAATCTATTAGGTCTAGTATCTTCTTTATATCAGTGGGCCATTAAGTAGGTTTACCAGGAGATGTGACCTCTAGTCTATTGTGTCTGTTTATAATAGTATTGTATGACTGCCGCCCT